TTCGAAGGAGCCAGCTCCCGGCAATATTATAGACAGGAGGGGGTATGTCTGATGATAAAGGAAATATTATAACTAGTGACCGGGCAAAAAGGAGTGACTGGTTTGGACTAGACTGGTAAGAAGCAATGGTAGGCAGAGATTCCGTGTGAGTGGAAGCGGAAAAGGAGCAAAAGAGGGCAGCAAGAGGGGCGGTGCCCAAAGACCCTGGAGGGATAAAAGAAGTAGGGCGGGCAAAGAGGCATCATCCATGAACAGAAACAAAAGCCTCGCACGGGCAGGTCGGAAACTCGGTAGCAGCTAAGCCGGAATTTTTTGATACAAACGTCTTGACGTCTGTGAGCTTGGAGGGACGAGGACTCGCTTGGCCTGCTCGGGACGAAGGAGAGGGCGGAGTCTGCCAGTACAGAAGCAGGGGGGCAAGGGTAGAGGAGTGGAGGGGTGGTTTGACGAGGACCATGGACAGGGCTGGGTGGGTGCGTAGGGGAGAGAGGTCGATGGATGCCGATGAGGCAGGGACAGGTCCGCCAGTGACTCTTTTGGGAAGAGTGACAAGGATCAAAGATGTTGACAGGGCTGTACCTGGGACACAGACGTAGGTACCACTCGAAGGCCCTTGGTGGTGGTGTGGGGAACCGACCGATCGAGGGGGTCAAGGACTGTGAGAACGACATGAGGGAGACTAAAGTGGCAGTGGGCAAGTTGTGCACCGGCCAGAAGTCGCCCACTCCAACGTCTGAGCACCACGGCCGCGCCGATATTGCGTCCTGGATCTCTGAACGATTCGAGGGACGCGATGACGTTGGGTGTTCGTTTTGACGCGTCTTGCGCCCGCGTTCCATTGTCTTCGGAAGCGGACATGGCACCGAGTCCCCGCGCGCTCGCTGGGAAGCGGATGCTCAAAACCAAGGCGCCAGGCTGCTGTCCTTTGTGGAATATCGACGAACCTAAAGAGAGGAAACGAATGAAGTGACTTGTCTCGTCTGATCCCAAACACTCGACATTTGGCGGTAGCTTGTATGCACACCAAGGGGCCCGATGAACAGCAACGAGGTATCGCGTTAAGATGGCACGTCGGCAGCAACACTGCATGCGATGCGCAAAGAGTCTCACTCGAGCAGAAAAGACGAACGAGAATCGTTCAATGTTCCGCAGCACGGCATCATGCGAGGCGCGTGGTGGACCGGGCATCTGGCGTGTCAGCGGGGAAGGAGAGTCAAAAAAAGACAAATCATCAAGTATTACCCTGGCCAAAGAGCTCGCAGACAAGACGCCCAACATGTAGCAGCACAAGTGGACTCCGAGCTCCCGATGCGTGGGCCAGGCCAATGAAGCCCGGGCCCGTAGATCAAGAACAGAAGTGTTTTGGCAGTGCAAGAGGGTCGAGCAGGGATGCCTCTTGTTCTGACAAGTCGTTCGACAGGTTGACTTGGCTTGTGGCTGTCCAGAGCAAGACACCAGGCAATTCCCCACAGGATGGATGATTGACGCCACGGAACTGTTCAGCAGATCCGGGCCCGTTGCCGATGTGACGCCATGATTACTCGTAAGCCCAGGTCCCAGCCTGCAAATCGTGATTCTTGAAGAAATCCATAGCTGTCGATGCATCAGTGCTTTCAGCTCGTCGGAGGGCGCCGTTCTATCAGAGACAACGGGAAGCGCCAGAGGTATTGGCGCAGCAGTTTAGCCGACGCAAGACCAGCCGAATGGAGCGTCTGACGCTCAAGGCTGAGGCCTAGATAGGAAGTGAGAGAAAGTAAGGAGGCGGCTGAGCCATGTGGATGTGGTGGATGGAGGTGTATCATGATCCAAGGCAAGGTTCAGTGGACCAGCTCCGTGCTGGGTTTGTGGGTGTCAGGTGCCTGCCCCTCCCCCCTGGTGGGGTGGAGTGGTGAAGGGAGGAGCTTGTGAGGTACATTTTTCCGTACTAGGCTTCCGTGTAGCAAAGCACCAGAATGAGTACGACGGCAGGCAGTAGAAGACTGTTGGGTTGATGAAGAAGGTGGCTGGAGTGGGACCTTGGGTCGTGGGTCGCGGAGAAGGGGAGAGAGAGGTCTGGGCCATGTTGGCGCACCAGCTCACGTTGCCCTCAGCCCACCCAGGACATCTCAATGGCTGAGTCGGAACAACAGCGGGCGACAGAGTATCACTGCTGGTGGAGGTTATAGAACAACCTGTTAAACGTGACGATTGGCGTCCGTGGTTGGTTTGTCCCGTTTCCTGATTGATCGTGTCTTGTCCACGACCATGGCTCTCGAGACAGCCGAATCTTGGTTGAGAAGGAGGAGTACGGAGCCGGGCATGTTTGAGGTTAACTTTGAGCTGGTGGGCGACGCGTCCTGATTTGCTGCTGCTTAGGTCAGCTTTCCTTTGACGCACCTCTGGACGCACCTCTGGCAGCCACCTTACAGCAACCAGGGGCAGGGCCAACCCGTTGGACGGGGCAAGGCCACCTCGGACCTGAGGGAGTGGAACCGCTTGCTGCACCTCCAAGCTGCACTGCACCTGCCTAGCTTGTTATTGTCAGGGCCAACACAGCCTGTGACTTGCTGGACAACTCTGAAGGAGGGGCGGCTTCAGGGGCGCTACTGCCTGCAGGCTGTCTCAGATCTGTCACAGACCGAGACACCCTTGTCTGGGGGAAGGTTCTTGGCCACAGAATCGTCAGTTACGATGGAGCCGGGGTCCTGAAGAATTTCAGTGACCCGTTCGATTTCCAAATACCTTTCTTCACCTGCCTGACTGCCAACCTACCTACAAACCTACAAACCTTACCTTACCTACCACCTAAGGTACCTTACGGTCCTGCGCCCTCACAATCTGTCTTGAGGCCCGCCTGCCTCGGATCTTGATGTGTATGGGCAGTTTCTCACGACCTGTAACATCGGGGATGACCGTTCAGGTGTGCGACAGCCGGTCTTCGCTAGCCCTCCAACCTTGGCTTGAGGGCGCCCCAAAAACACGATGCCTTCATCTCGTTCACACGCGCCATTTCTTCTAGCTCGCGCTCTAGAAACCCGTCATCTGCCTTCACCCCACTGTCTTGGCATCCCATCATTGCATTTGCATCTAGATGATAGCTTACCATCCATCGACTTGCCGCTGCTGTGAGGCTGATGTGTGGGCTGAGAATTCTGTTTCCGGCGTCCCCACAGGTGAGCCTATCGCTATGTTGCCTACCCAATACCATTTCTTTCAACCCACCCGCCACGTTTGAGGTCGTGCGCGAGACGTGGCACGATGGCACTATGATCCGAGTGCATTCGCTTGAAATTACCCGACTCCTTACAATCCTTCACCGGGGCCTTAGGCCTCGGCCGCCGCTTACTGTTCTTATGGACCATTTACCACGACTGACGTGCGCTGTTTCGAGAAGCGTTCTGCTCGTTTGATGTTTCCTCCACCAAGACAAAGCGAAAGCTGCAGCCCTGAAGAGCCTGTAGGCAATTGACAGTGTGCAGCGATGCCTGATCGCTGAACAAGCTTCGTTTATTGCATCCAATTGGATGGAGCGCTGAACATGCGAGTCCGAAATCTCAGCCAACCGAGCCATGCTTTTCTCCTCTTCCCACTCGAAAGAGCCTAGTGGACGAGCTCTGCTGATCAAATGGTAAGGCCTGGACGTTTGAGAAAAGAGTTTTGCTTGCATTGGCTAACAGCCCTTTGCCGGTTGTGCTTCGCTGGACACGTCGTTTCTTCAGTTCTTTCCGTGGTTGGGTCTGTTTGGCCTTAAGCAGCCTCCACTATAGCCTCCGCAAAGCCGGGATACCCGTGATAATTAGCATCATGCACTCCAGCCAAGAGTGGCCACTGGTTTCCACTGTCGAATCCCCCCACACCCTCTTCCCCGGGTGTGGTTGGAGTGTGGTTGGAGAGGCAGGCTCAAAGGGCCTGGCAGTTCATTATCTTGTCTTTTAATCTGGGCGTGGTAGTCACTCGTGATTACCACCCCTAAGCTAGTCTTGGTGTAGGCAAATTGGTTCTCTTTGAGTAACGACGCCGTCGGACGAGATGGGAGCTTAGGCCGTGGGGCTCACCGTCTACGCTAGTGAGACCGAGGAAGACGACGAGCCGAGTTGCGAGCCTTCCCAGGCAGAGAAGGGGATGACTTACCGATACAGAAAAAAAGATCTACTAATAAGATCACTTGCTTTGCATTGGGCCGCGACGACATAGGACGAAAGCAGGAGCTCGAGGCCGTGCGACGTAGTCTCTGTCGCGCCTTGGCCGTTTCCATCGGTCTTCCATTAGACCTTCTGTGGAGACTTAGGTCTCGGTCTGGCCGCCGAACAGGGACCCATCCTCGTCCCGCATGAAGATGCCGCATACATTAGGAAATTAAACCACCGTTCCCCGCCGCCGCCGTCATCTTATCACAGCTCTTATGGAGATCACCGGCCAATTATGACGCGATCCACCCCCGCCGTCCCCCTTAGCTGACGGCCTCTGGGTTGCAGTAGACCAGGTCAGGCGGCGAATGTGAGGACGACACAAGCCCAAGCCCCTTGACGCTTTGAGCAATGGAGAAACTAGAGGCCGAGAGGGCACCCTTCATCCCCTCGCGGTGTTGAAGATCCTTGGCTAGCGGGATAGAACCTTGGTTCTTACTATGCTCTGGGGGTTCTGACGATGGTGGGATGGCGGATCGCCCAGATCTGGGGGTGCTACCTACCGACTCGGTCCGTCAAGCACAGTCTGGAGTCGGCTGCCAAGAGTATCGTATTAGTCGAATGGCCGACGAGGTGTTCAATTGTTTATTTCAAACCCAGGACGGACGACTAGTTCAAAGGCACGCCAATCGGGACACCAGGTGGGATGAGGACCAGTGCCGTCTTCACCGTGAGAAAAGCGCAAAAAAAGGAAAAAAAAAGGACAAAAACCAGTCGCCGGTGGTACAGGAGGCTGAGAGGCAGGAGAAGCATCTCCGTCGGAGCTCATTAGGTTCGATATGCATTGAATGCCTTGACGTGGCGTAGGGCCGTCCAGCCAAATCCGATGTTGCATTCCGTCAAGATGATCCAAACATCTCAGCTGCGTGAGGCGCTATCTGGGGATCGCAAGGCAACCGTCGGCTGGGGCAGGGCAGAAGTCATGCAAGGCCTGCATCTTGGACACAATCGTATGGTTTTTGACTCATTCAAGGTTTGCTCCTTTCTATCATGCATTATTGATCACCAGATGAAAAGAGGGGAAAACTGGGTCAGGTATCTTGTTGATTTGACGGTGTAGCTGGTGGCTCAAAACCTTGACGGTTTAGATGCCGCCACAAGTTGAGGTTGAGTCCGACTCATCTGAGTGGTTCTTTGTCTAGATATCTTGAGAAAACAGAAGAGTTGGTTCGTGCCAAACAACGGTCCAAACTCTGACCTTGTGTGGCTGATTCATTCTCGCAGTTTCTCTCGCGTTTTTTTCTGAGGCTCCCCACAGCCTGACGCCTGACCCCCAAAAATAGCGCCATCCCCATCTCGCCTACAATGAGTAGCCTGATTGATGGCCGAAAACCCCAAGACGCCAATATGTGGCGTTCGGGAGATACCGCTGTCATGCCTCGATGACTGAACATCAGGCACCGGAGCAGGCTCCGGCACTTGTGATTCACGACGGTAGCCGTGTCGTTGATGCCGAGATGCCGGTTGACTTATTGTTCGGATGAGTAACAACACGGAATTGGCTAGGGAAAAGTCCGGCTTCGCATCCTGTCTGCTGTCGCGAGAATGAATCCAACTGCCGCTTCGAGTCTCGCGGTCGCTGACTTGTTGCTGGGTCGGCTAAGAGCCTTCTCGAGCCAGCCTAACTGGAACGTTCTACACACTCACAGGATCCTGCGGCTCGCCAACTGGCAAGCTGCGGAGAGATGGTGGACTAATCGTGCTTTGCCTTGTAGCATTAGGTTTTTCGTTTCCCAAATCCAGACCTCACGTCCAACTTGCATTTCTATCATCCCAATGTAGAATATTGAGGAGACCAGGCGATGGTTAAAGTTCTGACATCACACATCACGCGCGATATGCCCATCGGATTTCAATGCAGTGTAATATTCCGATGCCCAGACATAGGCCGATAAGTCGAGAGTATCGACAGCCCTCCTGTTCTTCCAAATTCTGGTTCATGCTGACCAAGGGTGCACCTTGTCTTATGACATGAAAATCTGATCTGTGTGACAAGTCGCAGCGAGCGAATTCGGATCATACAGCCATTGTCCACGTTCGAGGGCTTCACGATTTGAAGTCGTTTCATTGAAATGCAAAGCACCTAGCGGCTAGGTCTCGTCTGGGGTAGCAAAGCATACCTGAGCCACGATACCAATACATCCAGTGATACACCTACTTGAACCGTCCATTCTCACGGACCACGTGGAGTTGTACGGATCCCTTGCCCCGCAAAGACTGACAGATCAAATCATCTGTTCAGTTCTTGTTGATCCTGCGCCAAATCTCCGTCTCGGCTGCTGCGAGGTTCCCGCCTGCTGTGGAAGCCCATTTCTTCGCCGCTTCCCACACTCCCTCCTCTGATCCGTCGAGCGGCCCGCTCTCGCGCACCGACGCCGCGTGCGCAGCGCGCTGGTTACTACTAAAGTCTGCGGCGCCAGCGTTCTGCTGGTAGCCCGGCGGGTGAGCAAGGCGGTCGTTATCGTTGCCGAAGGGCAGGGGCGTGGGGCCGGGAGGCTGAGGATAGCCGGGTACCGTGGCCGTGGCAGTGGAGGAGCCGTAGCTTGCTGCGTAAGAGGTTGTAGGTGGCGGGATGGACATTTGGGGTGGGTATGGAGTCGTCGCCTGCGGAGCAGGTGTCTGTTGAGGGGGATGATAGGCCTCGCCGGTCTTGGGCGGCGGGGGGAGGCCGGACGCGGAAGGCACGGCTCCGGGCTGAGGGGCGGGAGGTCCGGCTGACGGGTTCTGTGTCTGGGTGGGAGGAAGATATGAGGCCGAGGGAGCACCGGTCTGCTTGGGCAAGTGTGGTGTTGCGCCTGGCTGGGCAGCTGGGTAAGCTTGAGCTGTCGTCGGCGTCGGCGCTGGGCCCGAAGATTTGGCTGCAGCGGACTCTGAGCCCGCAGTCTGAGGTGTTACGCCCGAAGCCTTGGCGGCGGTGATGGGGCTCGATGCGTAGATTGGTACTGGAGGCATGGCGATGAGTTGAATGGTGGCCTAATGAGGAGCGTGTGAAGCTAGATATCAGAATGATCTGGGGTGTCTAAGGCGTGGATACACTTTGTTGGTATTCTCCGGGCTGTAGTGAGGTCTTGCGAGTGGCTTGTATTATATTGAAGTGTAGCAGGCAGACGTGAATGGTAGACTCTCCGGCGTTGACACGTAGTTTGTTGAGACAAGGCGTTCTGAGTGTTGATGGCTACCTACCTTACTGTGAGAGCTCTAAATGCGGAAGGTGGCGACGTCACATCAAGTGACGTCAGGTGACTGGCTCTGTACCACGTAATTTCGATGGCGTCCATATGGTGAATGCACGAGAATCACACAAACTCACCACACCATATCAGTTCCTCCTTTGATCTATGTAAGAGGCCTTTCATTGCTGGAGGAAGTTTCTTTGAGTAAGAAGTGCACCAGAATTACGGGCAAGGAAAGTTTAATATGCAACTTGGTAGTCACTGAGTAACAACTTATGAGAGATCCTAAAACGTCGGTTCAACCCCGATAATTTTCCATACAAGCAAGGAAAGAAGGCTCACACATCCCCTCGATATGCACCCTATATCTTGACCGTGAGCCCGTTTATTAGATTGCGATACTGCCAGTAGAGGCTCCTTCGAACAGTCGGAAGCGATGGAATGGTCACCGGCATGTGCCACAGAGCTCTGGGTGACAGCCACAGTGCAGTCACGGCTAAAGCTCGGGTGGCTATGAAGCTTTACTGTTTGTGGATGGCGCATGAATCCTCTACAGGGATCGCAATAGGCTGCACCTCACGTACCTCGAGCACTGAAGCAGTTGCTGGGCCCGCCGACGAAGTGCTGAAGCCATTGCTGTCCGTTCAACATTCAAGAATTGACGCCGCGCTTCTGGAGCTGCTCAACACCAGCCCGCGCAAGCCTTGCACTCACAGCCGCCTCAACATCTCCTGCAGACGGCGCAACCCCTCGAGGGGTTGAATTGATACTAGTCGACTTCTTACACCGGGTCCAGTCCGCGCCATCTTGAGGGCAGAAGAGGAGGACGACAAAGTAAACGGGGGGCACATCAAAACTTGCGAGGGAGAAATCAATCGAGAGTCAAGGACTACAAAACATCGCCCACCATGGTCGGTAAAGTTAGCGAGAAGGTTCTCGCCCGTGAGGGTAAGTCTGAGGATTCATTCCCTCCACCTGTTGTCCCCAGTTGCTAAATGCTGGCGCATAGGCCTAGAGAGGACCGACAACAACATGAAGATGTCTAGTTGGCCCGAGGCGACCCCGATCAACCAGAAAAACTACTACACGTGCGTATTTCCTTGCCAATCATCCCGAAGGCCCTAGCTTCTGACGCGTCTACGATCGCAGCGATTACATGAAGCGCGATGACCAGATCCTGGCTACTCGCCTCCAGAACGACGCCACTCGCGACAGACTTGTCCAGAACGCAAAGGACCGTGACCGAGCTCTCGCACGCAATGGAAACGCAGAGGTTCCTCTTATAATACCCGAGATTCATGGCGACGATGCCCCGTCCGAAGTTGGCGGGCTTGACCCCTCCAAAGTCATCGTCATCCACCCCGGCAGCCAGAACCTCCGCATCGGCTTCGCGAGTGATGCGCTACCCAAGTCGATCCCTATGACACTGGCCAACAAATACCCACAAACCGAGGCTGACGCCCACGATTCGATCCCGCGCCGTCAGGCCGATGCGCAGACCGCCGATGAGCAGTATGGCGAAGAGTGGTCCAAGAAGTTCACCAAGTGCAGTCACGACCTCAAGATGGAGATGCGTGCCAACAAGCGCAAAGTTCTGCCAAATTCCAAGGAGCTGGTTCTCAACTATAACCGCCGCACCGAGCCCGATGTCATTCCCCAACACAATGACCCGTTGCAAATTGAATGGACTGATGTCAAAACCTTGGACGACCCCCAGTCGACGGCATCATGCTTTATCGGCGGAGAGGCTCTGAGAGTTCCTGATGACTCGGATCCCAAGTTCAAACTCTGGTGGCCCATGCGGCATGGCTGGCTTAATGAGGAAGACTACGAAAGCGCGGAGCACCTTTTCAACGATTTCGAAACCGTCATCGAAAAGGCCATTCGGCAGGACCTCGGCCTCTCCCGAAACAGCGTCTGGCCGCAGTATAGCTGCGTCTTCGTGATCCCCGATCTATACGACAAGAAGTACGTAGAAATGCTGCTTCGCTTTTGCATGATCGGCTTCGAATTCAACAAGGTGTGCTTCATCCAAGAGAGCATGGCTGCCACGTTCGGTGCCGGATATACTCAGGCATGTGTCGTGGATGTTGGTGCTCAGAAGACCTCCATCTCATGCGTTGAGGATGGCCTCTGCATTGAAGACTCTCGCATTAACCTCAAGTACGGAGGATACGATGTTACAGAGACGTTCATCAAGATGATGCTTTACGACAACTTCCCATACCAGGAGATCAATCTGCAGCGGCGCTATGATTTCCTGCTTGCAGAGGAGCTCAAGATCAAACACTGCACCATGTCACAGGCCGACATTTCTGTCCAGCTTGCTCAGTTTCATCTTCGTGCACCAAATCAGCCTACCCACAAGTACCAGTTCAAGACGTATGACGAAAGTCATCCTAGCCCCCATGGGCTTCTTTGACCCTGACCTGTTCGACAACGATCACAAGCTGAAGGGTCGTCGCAAGCTCGTGGATCGATCCTACAACGCTTACGAGGCCGAAATACCAGACGACCCTACATCGGCTGCGCAGTTTGGCATTCTGGCTCTCGTCAAGCCCTCTCTGAACGCTGCCACCGCCCCGGCCGCCCCCGCTGGTTCTGTGAACGGCATCGGCGCATCACAAACGGAGGTCTCCACTCCCATGAAGGAGAAGCCACAGCCATTCGATAGCTTCAAACGCAGCGAGAACGGCACAAATGGCACCCCTGGAGGTTCCAAAGCCACATCACCGGCACCGGAAGGCGCCAGTACGCCGGCTCCTGTGCCCTTCGTCTTTAGCGCAGGAAGGGAGGGCATTAATGGCAGCCCAGCCCCGAACGGAGGGACACCGGCGCCTAATGGAGCAGCCGCCTCGCAACCCCCTACCGGCATGTTCATCGACGCGCATGCGCGAAGCGCCAAGTCGATTGCCGTTGAGCGTGATGAGGTGCTTCCAACCGCCCCTCTTGATCTGGCTATCCTCACAAGCATCTATAACGCTGCCAAGGGCGACGAGAAGAAGGTTCGTGATCTGTTGGGCAGTATCATGGTGGTTGGCGGTGGCTCCAAGATTCCCCAATTCACAGCAGTCCTCGAGGAAAAGCTCAAGGTCCGACGTCCGGATCTGCAAGATCGCATCCTCATCAGTCGTAGCGCCAGAGACATGGACGAACAGGTGGTGGTGTGGAAGGGAGCCAGTGTCTTCGCCAAGCTTCCAACAAATGATTCGTGGGTCACGCCGTTCGAGTTTGAGCGCCAGGACGCCCGCATCCTGCACCACAAGGTGCTCTGGGCTTGGTAACCGGCTAGATGACGATATGAGAGACAGGAAGCTGATTACTGGCGTTTGCTACATTGGCATGGAGTTGAGGTTGCTTGGTTGCACGTGTAAAAGATTTGGGACCTGATTGATACCAGGGCTTTTGGCAGGGCAAAGGGTTTCCGACGGCATGTTGGATCTGTAGGGCGGGCCAAGAACAAGCAATGAACGACTAGAGCCTAAGGATTTTCTCCCCGTTGATCATTGTCAAGACTCGCGCTGGCATGCATTTTTATGTCAAGTGCCCTCCTTTTTCTGTTGGGGTGGGTGAAGTGGGAGGTGGTGGTCATGAGGCACTGGGGCTTACCTAACAACCGCTATGCACGGGCTCTCGCGTCTGCCCGCGTACCGATGATGCGTGTTTCCAGCATCCCGGAGCCAGATTGACCAGGATCCCTCCTCCTCGTTCTGCAGTACATCAACAAACACAGCCCAACACCGAACAGGACCCGCGGCCTCTTCGAAATGTGAGCTCTAGATTCTCGCGCTCGACAGGAAGCAATCTAGACACCTCACCCAACTGAAACACACCCAACACAATGGCCCTCATCCCGCGCTGCCTCCCGTTCGCCAGCTCGACTACGCCACTTCAAGCTGTGACGTACCTCCTCGGCATATCCCTCTTCTCGATCTCCTTCCTGGTGTTCCTCAACAGTAGCGTTTCCTTCGTGATTACAGACCTCATAGGCGTCAAAGATGGCGTCGGTGATATTGTTGGTACCCTTGGTTTCGTTGACGAGATTGTCGCCCTCGTCGCCTGCCCAATTTGGGGTCTCGTTTCCGACCGCCTCGGCGTGAGATGGGTCGCTGTCATCGGCTACACGGTCATCGGCCTCTCGCTTTTCCTGTTTGTGCAGGCGGGCAATGTCTATCCTCAGCTTCTACTGGCGCGCATCTTCTTTGCTGTCGGTGCTACTGCTGCGTAGGTTCGACCCTTTGGAGCTTCATCATCGTCATACTGACCAAGGAGACAGGGCGACCATGGTCACGGCCATCCTACCTTCTCTGACAGGCGAGAGCGGTGACGCAGATGATGGATCGACGACATCACTTTTCAAGCCGACGCAGAACGCTAGGCACAGCATAGCCATGTCACTCGAGTCGGACATCACCATTACACCGGAGCGGTACAGGGGGATCGAGCCGACAGAGGAGGAAACCGCAGTCTCAAACCAGGAGAGGAGCAGCATCTCCACACTTGAGAAGCCCTCGGCGCTGGCAGGGTTCGTTGGATTATTCACCGGATGCGGGGCGCTGGTTGCCCTGTCCGTGTTCCTTCCTCTGCCCGCTCGCTTTGGCGATATCGACGGTGTGACACCTGCCGAGGCCATCACAGACAGCTTCTACGTGGTGGGCATTGTCTCCTTTTTTGTCGCCATATTCGTCTTCATTGGCCTCCGCGATCTTCAAGGCGAAGACGGCAAGGGTTGGAGAGTGTTGCTTGGGCTTCGAAACAGGGACGGAGAGCCGACCGAACAAGAAAGCCACGAGAAGCAGGTAAGTCGAGTCAACGCTACATATCTCCGTGGCTCATTTGCTAATATTCCGCGGAAGGTCTTGCCCTATCTCCGCCTCCTCCGAGATTCCATTTCACTCGGCTTCAGCGACTCCCAGATCGCCTTAGGCTACCTCGGCGGCTTCGTAGCCAGAGCCTCGACTGTAGCCATCTCTCTCTTCATTCCTCTATTCGTGAACACGTTCTTCATCAGCAACGGTTTCTGCCAAGGGTCGCCGCATGACCCTTCGCCGGAATTGAAGAAGGAATGCCGATCCGCATACATCTTGGCATCTATCCTTACAGGTGTCGCTCAGCTTTGCGGCCTCATCTGCGCACCTATATTCGGATACCTCTCCAGGCGGCCGGGAGCCGTTAATTGGCCTATCATCGTGGCCACTGTCTTTGGTATCGTGGGCTACATCGCTCTTCCCCAGCTCTCGAGCCCTGAATACAAGAATGTCGATGGCCGCGGTGGCAGCCCTGCCATTTTCTTCATCGCGGCTCTCCTGGGTATCAGCCAGATTGGTGCCATCGTCTGCAGTCTCGGCTCCCTCGGCCGCGGCGTGTTGACTGCTGACCTGCCGAAGACGCAGGTTGTTGCCACAGTGGAGGAGTCGACAGAGGCCCTTGAAGCCGAGGGCGAGCATGCGCCGCTGCTAGCACACGAGGCAAGCGTCGACGTCGTTTCTCGCGTGCGGCTCAAGGGGTCGATTGCCGGCGTGTACTCTTGGTGCGGCGGCATTGCGATCCTTCTCCTGACAAAGTTGGGTGGATACTTATTTGATTCGTCGTCTGTCGGGGCGCCCTTCTACATGATGGCGGTATTCAATGGATTGCTTCTCGCTGTCAGCCTAGGTATAGACATGGCGCGCGTGTTCAACACCAACCAGAAATAAACAAAAGCTAGTATACTAGTGTATCATCAACGAAGTAAACGAATACAAATACAAAGCAGGTTCCTTCATCGTACTTCATTTCGGTGATTGCTCAATATCCGAGCCGGCTGGTCAGGCTGAAGGGTAATCGTGAGCTTCTAGGCGATGTTGCGTGACTACCCTTTCTATGCTTGCATATTATTTACCGATCCGAGTACGAAACAGAGTTTTTGTCGGCTGCGTACATTGCGAGAGAAAAATGAGTCTAGATCTGGTCTTAGCCTTATGTACTCGTAGATAGCTGTAGTCTCACGCTCGATAGGTTGACCACGGTATGGACAGCTGGATTAAACCTACGATATCTGCTCGTCATCATGTACCTACTGGCCTCGTTGGCGTAAGTCAAGCGGAAGGCAGGGTAGATGGCAGCGTCGACCTGACAAAGCAACCAAGTTCCACGTTTCACCCGAGTCACCACTTGCCCACGTTATTGGACATGTTGGTATTGTAGACAATCAAGTTGGTCAGTCATTCAAGGCAAGAAGGACATTCATCAAGCGGAGCGGAAGACAGATAGTTGCGAAAGCAGAAAGGATCCATTTTTAACTCTCCATACGAGACCGACCAGACCTAGAGTACCTGTGGTGGATGGAGACCGAAAGCCAGGATCCTACCAGAGACCAAAGAAAGGATGCCGGCCTATTTCCTTCAAGGAGAGAACTGTTGACGACTCTGCGAGGAAAACCAATGCGGGAAAACTTTTCGGTCATGAAAGCGCAACCTCCTTTTCAACCCAGGCGTTTCTGAGAAGGTGCGCATACCGAATGAGCAGAGGGCGTCTTATACCTGCTCATGCCGCCTCTGTGGGCTCCCAAGTCAGTTTGGGGGAGCGAGCAGCTTATTTGCCGCCAAGGCTGGGGAAGGCCGACTCGTCCTTGGTGTTGATGGCGGCGTTGGCCTCCTTGCGGCCACCACCACGATCAGCGCGCTCGCCGCCGCGGAAGTTACCGCCACGGCCACGCTCGCCACCGCGGTCACCACGGCCACGGCCACCACGGCCGCCACGGCTGCCGCGCTCGCCGCTGAATCCGCCGCGCTGGGGGCGCTCAGGCTCGACGTAGCGCATATCGATGTCGATGGTCTCCTTGGTCTTCTGGGTGCGCTCACGCTTGGCCTTGCCGCTGGAGGCGGGCATGTAGTCGGTCTCATCGCGGACGACCTCCTGAGTGGCGCCCCACTTCTTGGAGGAGCCCTCGTTGGCCTTGCGGACCTCAGGGGTGCTGTCGAGAGCGGCCTTCTTCTCAGCGAGCTGAGTGAGGTAGTCGTTGTAGGAGACGTGCTTGTCCTCAGGCTCCTCGACCTTCTCCTCGGCATCCTCAGCGGCGGCGTCCTTCTTCTCAGCCTCGGCGATGGCATCACCGGCCTGCTCGTCCTTCAGCTCAGGGTTGCCCTCAGTGGCACCCCAAGACTGGGCAGCCTGCTTCTCAGAGCCGCATAAATATGTTCGTTAGTATTTTTGACAGCCACCATGTGTGGGCGTTATGTTGGGTTTACCTGGGAAGACCCTTGGTGTGACGGTCGTCACGTTCGCGAGGGAAGCGACCACCACGGCCTGGGCAAGACATTAGCGGACCGTCAATAAGGAACCAGCGTCTGGCGGCGGGCTTAGCGGAATGGACTCACCACCACGGCCACGGGCGCCGTATCCACCACGGGCGCCGCCCTTAGCGGCCTCCTCGGTAGAGCGGCCACGGTTGCGGTCGCTGCCGGAGTTACGGTCGCGGAAAGCTGGCAGATAATCGTCAGCTGGTGTTCATCATGACGGACACACGGCGTAACATACCGGCATCGTTGCCGGAACCACCACGGCGGTTGCCAGCGCCACCAGCGGGAAGGCGGGCGGGAGCCTCAGGCTCGGCGTTGCGCTTAGTAGTGCGAGCGACCGGCTTGTCGACGGTCTTCACGGGGGCGCGAGGGGTGTCATCGCCATCGTCGTTACCTAGTGGAGGAGGGTTAGACTCGAAGCAATTGATATGTCACGACGAGAGGCCGGGTGGGCATCGCGAGCTGCATACCGAGGAGGTCGTAGAGGTTCTGTGGGATTCCAGTCAGCGCCGAGCGGGCAGAGGAAAGGGTTCAACGGATATGAATTAAAATTCAAGACATTATCGATGATGTGTCTGGAGGGTGGAAGCAAGTCGGTTGTGTCATGGACGACGTTGTGGACGATCGTTCAACATGGCCACGACGACGAAGATTGGTGGTGGGAATGAAGAAAAAAAAGAGACATGGCACATACCTTGCTTGCGACCGACATCTTGTCGCCTGGATTGTGGTTTACAATAGCGACCTAGTCTTTCTTATATTTTGGGGGAAGATCGCACGGTCAGACCACCATGACACTGCGCAGTGGTACGATGCTTCGGGAGGTCCGGGGAGGGACGTGTTGGTTGTTGATGATGTTACGGGAGAGTGGAAGAAATGCGCGACGAGGACGAAGCCAGAGCCAGCCAGCACGAGCACCATCTGGGGACGGCCAGCCACTGTTTGGGCGAATGAGAGACGCCAGGCCCCCGCTTGGGCCAATTCGGTCCATCTTCGGGTTCGCTTAATGTGGTTCTTGTGAATCGCACCGCGAGATTCCTTAGGGTTCGACTCCGGCAGCACGATGATCCGCTCCGTTTATCACTGTTCATTGGCTCAATAGCCAGGGGACCGGGGCTTCTTGGCTTACTCAGCTGGACGAGGGCTTCGCAGCTGGTCCCGTCCCATTTCAGGTTGGAACTGAGCTCCAGCTCCGCACTGGTCAGCACCGCACCCGGACGTCATCTTTCAGTGGCATCATCTGCCAAGTCAGCCCACCAGAATGATCCCAACTAACGCCAGTAGCCGGTCATGGAACGACCTGCTGATCGACTCAGCGTGCCACTATCCCGAGGCGTCAGCCTGGCTTCCTGATGGCCCGCTTGTCTAAGCCAGACTCGACCCTGGACCGAGGTGTAGCTGCAAGCTGCAAGCTTAGGCCCTGGACGCCAACTGCCGATGGCCAATGCAACTTCTCAGCCAATCCCATCTTCTCCACCGCCCGCCACGGATCACTTTGGGGAAGTTCGCCTCCCAAGTGATGGAGGCTGATCTCATGGGGCTCAGTAAAGCCGGGGTTGGCTTTCATTAATGCCTACTGCTATTCGCATCGAAGAGGCAGTTCGTCAACCCTGTTGGCGACTTAACTGGTAATATTAGGGTTATCTGACCTGTCCACGTTGCGTGCGCTCGAGTCCCCTTTACCTGGTTGGCTACAAGACTAATCAGTCTTCTGTACGCTTCTGCTATAAGTACACCATCATTCAAACCAGTTCACTGGCTCCAGGAGGTCTTGAAGTTCCTGAAAGGGTTTATTTGGCCGCTGCAAGGGACGTCCTCGAGGGTATCATGTGGGAGGGTATTACCATTTCATAACGTAGCAAGTGAAATTGCCTCCCTTCATCACGCATGGATGAGCGATACGCTGTGGGAAGGTGCTCACAGCCGAATTAAAGCAGCACCAGCGAGTACAATCAACAGGCCGCGATAGCCAGACCTTCAGATGGAACTTGCCACAAGAGATGCTACGTTGGCACCTGGATGGGCGTTCCCCAGGTGAACGGTGACAGCTCCAAGGCAATAAGAAGGACTTGCGCGGTACAGTCACTACGAGACTCTTCGAGCACCAAGCGTGCTTTTCGCGATCTTCTTGATTATGATTGCCTTCCCCCAAGTCTTCCGAAGAGGATACATGTTCGTTCGTCGTTCGCTCTTTCTGAAGTCATTGATCTCCTCCAATCTCATCCTCGGGCTACCGGAAGCCTTCTAGTAGATGAAAAAGGTGGTCGAGATGCTGTAAGAAAGACGTAGCTGTTCGGACGCGTGAGCTTGTTCGACTAAGTCACCTACTAGATATAGCTCGAACCAAGGCCACATGTAGATGCCGTTCCTTGTCGAACGATATTTGACATGGGGTAAGCAGTCTTGGTGATCGTGACATCAACACTGCCAGGATCATGGCCTTACTGTGCCTCACGTTCTTGCGTTGGCTATCCATATCCCTCTGTCCATCAGGTCGCATGATCTAAAGAAGCTATAGAAGCCCGTTCGGCCAAGCGCAGAATATCGGCCCGTTCGCTGCATCGTGAACCAAAGAGGATGCCAGGTAAAACGAGAGCTTAAGGCCTACTTGTTCTCGACCGCGACTTGCCTAGTTTTTCCGCAGACTATCGCTCATAACAAGCTATTACGTTGAGTGTGAATGCTGGCCTTCGATGACAGACCCGCGTTCAACCACGCTGCAGGGAGTACGACGGTGTATACGACGATGCTGTGGTGAGTTTGCGTTTCGATGCGACACCGACAGCATAGGTGCATCGTCAGATGCTTTCTAGGACTGCAGTTCTGTTGCACTTATGTCGTGGGTGTACTATGATTGACTTTACAACTGACTCTGCTTCCTTGACTTGCTTTCTTTGAGACGTGAAATCCATAACCATCGGCGCGCTGGGTGATGGGGGGGGGCAAGCGTAAGCACTTTGACTTCGGTACTCGTGGAGACTACTTTGGAGATCCATGATTTCAACAAGGTCAATGAGGTTAGAGAGAATGAATCTCCCATACTTTCAGTCATTGCCACGATGTGTTTTAAGGTCGTAGCAGGACTGCGTAGGTATCGTGTTTATTGGGAGGTCGATAATACAGCATCCGGCAGTGACACCTTCAGGACGTGGTAAAGTCGGCACACGTCCCAGTGACTCTACGCTTTTCTGAACATGTGATAGCCACTTGCTGACGAAAAACGCGAGGTTCATTGCGTACAGCGAGGAAAACTCCTTACGCTGTTTCGAGAACCACACCAGTGATCGTACCAACCAATCTGGACACGTCCACGGTTCACCGTGTCACACGATGACGCTGTCTATCAAGAAACTTCCCGGACACCAGAGCAGCGGCCGTTGTGTAAGGGAGGCAAATGACTGGTCTTCCGAGCGTCCATTGAGCGGAATGGTAAAGCGGAAACCCGCTCTGTTCAGAACACACCGAGCTTCCTCCAGCACACCCAAGACACAACTGCCAAGGCATTTCGCCATCATCTCATACACACCATCATGCCGCGCTCCCCGACCTGCATGACAGGGAAAACCTCGATGCATAAATCATTTTGTAAAAACAAGGAAAGCAGATTTTTTTTTTTGAGAAGGATTGGACAGGTTTGCCTCTGACATTTGTAAACCCATCACAACTCAGAACCTCCAACACGTAACTCGCACTCCAACCGGCCCATAACCTCCAACTCCCAACACCTCCACACAACCTCCGCCCGTGCCCGTCTCGGACCAGACGGAACCTCACCCCCTGGTGACATGAACCCCCCTGTCGACACCCCGCTATCCCTCATCCGGATCCAAAAGAGCACATCGTGCATTAGCGCCATGATGCCCGCCCTCCGATCCCGGATCCTCGTACAGGGCGCGCTCTCGCGCCCCGCCGGTCCCCACAGCATCATTATCCGCACACCCCCGCTTCCTGCCCGCCCAGCGCTACACAATTCTTGCGCCCTCTCAACCTGCCATCCGAGACTGATGGAAGTAAGAGCGGCATGGTCGGCAAGTGCATGATCTCCGAGCAGGCGCTGGACAGACGGTTGCAGGGAAATAGATCAATATGAAAGGAAAGGAGAAGAACTCCCGCTGAAAGATGACCAAGAAAGAGTTGGAACGGTTGCGCCAAGTGCAAAAGGCTTGATTGACCTGTCAAGACGTCAATCTTCGCCCAAAAAGGTTCAGCTCCAGTAGACAAGCATTTCCTGTCCTGGCGGCCGGCCAGGAGGGCCAAAGGACAAGACAAGCAGTGGCATGGCTCACGCTGCGACGATAGGCTCAGGATCGTGAGTTGCTGATGGAGGAGAAAAGGGAGGGCTTGGGCCGGGGCTCCTTCATACCAGCTCAGCAATGCCTTCCGCTTGGAACGCACGATATCCCCCCCCCCGCCCCGTTCTCCTCCGCTCAGGAAACGCGCCCCAAATCTCACGATGTCCCGCCCGCTCGAGTCAGAAGCAGTCGCTTTCACTGTCTCAGCGCGCCTTGGTGGTCTGTCAGATTACGAACCCCCCTTGGGGACTGTCTTCCCAGGGGGGTCTCCTGGCAGAATTTGACCACAAATGTGATGCGTCTGATGGGAGATCGCCAGCGTTCCTGGTTGTGATGTGATCAGACACTGAAAGTGTTTAGTACTTGTGGCCAGACCCTCTCATTTACTTTATTACGTTTAACGTAGGTAAGAACCTTGCTGAAAACCTGGAGGCGGGGCTCGTGTATGAGGGTGGATGGACGGCCAAGGACGAAGTTTTGATGGATACTTTGCATGTTCCATTCGCAATGTTCGGCCCAGCTAGCGCTGTAGGCTCGAAGATAATATAGCGTCAAAATGACGAATAGACTAACTATGGGGGTTGAATGTGGGTTGTTGTTTGTTTGTTTGTTGTTTGTTCGAGAATCCCCCCGTTTCGAAGGGATTTGAGAAAGCCACTTTTGTGATATCCACCAACGCCGGGTAAAGCAGTTCAAAATCAGAAAAAGCACAAAAAATGGTTATACAAAATCCGAAGACAGATGCCAAGCCGCCGCCGCACACCCCTCGCCGACATGGGCACTACCGCCAACCGCCATCTGTCGCTCATCTGTGTCTCGAGAGTCGTTTTCGCAACTTCTCCCGGGTGAAGTAAGAAGTGATTTCGCCTGCGCCATGTAAAGTCGTGTCCTGAACGAATACCACGAGAGCCCATATCTGGGCTTCTCCGTACCGTGGAAATTAAGGGAGCCGTTATCGCCGTTGGCTCTGTCGTAAGAATTCGTCTCGACGCTGTCATGAAATGCCGCCCTGGGTATCAACTTTTTCGTTCGCCGTAAATCATCCGCCCCAAATAAGATAAGAAGAAGAGTATCTGAGCTTGCCCGACGAGCCAGGGACCAGGTCGGGCTCGCTGAGGTTGTAGAGGTCCAACGAACCCCTCTACCTCATATTGCTAGTGTCGAAGGAGAATTGCGTGGGAAAGGCCATGCTCGCGCTGAGACCAAAAGGGTCCCAGTCGCCTCCGTTGTCGAGAAGCTGAGTCATGGAAGGATATGCGCCGTGTGGTGCCTGAGACGACTGGACAGCCTCGCCTTGCGTAACGTGATGGCCGTTGTGTGCGCCGTTAGGCGAGGTTACCATTGATGGTTGGCCATCTTGATACTGCGCGGGGTAAGGCCCCGGGCCGCTCGGAGTGTCCATCTCCGAGTCGTCGACCATGTCAGCCGGAGCATCATATTCTTGCTCTGCAGTGAGGTCGGTGGTTAGCCATAGTTCGAAGTGATGCAATGCAGAAAAAAGCCTTACCAAGCTGTTCAATGTGGTTCTGGAATGCCGGCGTAGGATAGTACTGAGCTCCGGTACCGACGCGAGCGGGACCGCTCGACATCATGTGCGCCCGGGTGGCAGGGTTCATGGGCGCCAGAGGGCTGATGTGCGACTTCATCGCGCCAGCATCCGGGGAGCGTGGTCAGACGCGGCAGGAGAGACAGCCGAAGGGCCGCCAAAGACGGATGCGGTTCCGGTGGGCGAGTTGGCGTGCGACGAAGGCGTCGGGCGGCTCTTGGGTGATGCCGTCGAGGTGTGAGCGTGGAGCGGGGGTAGTGCCCCGATACCAGGCTCCAGTTTCGGAGCAATACTCGAGTTGGATCTCCGAGCTTGGTGCCTGCCCATGATGGCGCGCTGGATCGGTGGCGGCTGTACCATGTTCTGGGGAACATGGGTAGGGCCCAGGTTAGGGCTGCCAGTCTTGGCGCGGAGCTCGGCCTGAACGTCGATGCCCTTCTCGAGCAGGATGCGCTCGAGGAGGGAGTTCTTGTAGCGAAGCATCAGGCATTCATCAGCAGCAGTACGGTGAGCAGCCTGCAGGTTGTGGAGGTTCGACTCATGGACGCGAATGGCCTCCTCGAGCTGCTTGATGTACTCAGTACGGCGCTCACGGAAGGCGGCCTGCGCCTGTCGGTTACGCTGCTTGCGTTCCTCCGAAGTGGCATAGATCTGAGACGGAGGTTAGCATCTGATTGGAGTGATATGGTGCGACGGCTAAGGGGCCAGCACCAGGATGGCATCAGGGAGGTGTCCTCGGCGGGACGCCTGCTGCTTGACGGCGATAGTCGCAGGCGATACTGATGCCGCACTTGGCACCGCACAAGGATTTGGGGATAAGTGTAAGAGGATGGATGTTCCAGGTCGTGGCTATCTGGCGGGGTCGCTGCAATGGCAGGGCAGAGGGGGAGATGGAATGAATGACTACATGGATGGCTTGGTAGGTGTAGGCATGGTAGTGGGTGAGGCATACAGGTGTTGGACAAGAAGAGACAAGTGGTACCTACGGGCTTGCGGCCGCCCTTGCGCTTGGGCTGCTGGTTCTCCTGAGAGGCATTACCAGCGGCGTTGTTGGCGTTGTTGGCAGAAGCATGGTGGTCGGCCTCGAGGCTGGAGCCTCGGGACTCGGGCGTGTCGCCGTCGACGGCGTCGTGCTTGTCGATGGACATGTTCTCTGCCATGCCTCTCCTCTTCTAGAAGCTGGGACGAGAATCTGGGGTACGGGGACCACAGAGGCGATTGCCGCTTGGCAGCAAAGCACCCCAGGCTGTCAAGCAAGCAAAACGGGCAGCTGTGACGTCGCAGCGTTCCACACTGGACGCGGATTGAAGCTCTGGATGGTGGAAACGCGGTGGTTTGGGGAAGGGTTGGTGCGTCGCTGCGGGCGCAACGAGATGGAAAGCGGTACTGCTGTGTGCGTCCGGGCGGGCGATAGAGATGACAGACAAGGGGAGGGTAGTGCGTGTTTGCGCCCACAAATGGGCACCGGTCGGACGGTTGAGATCTCGGAGCCGCAAAATAGAGTACGGCTTGTGCCTCTGGTACCTCTCGTGCCTGGGGGCTCGGGGGGCGAAGAGGATGGCAGCGGGCGCAACGGGCGAGAGAACAGCAGTTGAATGGACAATTGAATGGTTTTGGCCAGCCCAGAGATAAGAGATGCAAGCGATGAGAGGTTGCGGTGTGTAAGGAAATGAAAGAGGCCCGGGGGGCTTTTATGTAATGAAAAAAAGATTTGGGGGTTGCTCGGGGGTGCCTGCCCTCCTTTGCTACTGTTCCTGCGAGCCCGCCCAGCTAACCTCACCTTTACCTAGACCCCCCTCCCCCCCCCTCCTCTCCTCCTTCCTGTGCGTCCTGTGGCCCCGCTCATCCCCTGGTCCTCAGCGCATCCCTGAACCAGTCAAAACAGCCATGGTCCCCGCTCACTCCGCCTGGCCGTTCGGCCTTTGCTGGCTGGGTGCTGGGTGCTGGTGCTTGGTACCTATGCGTAGGCAGCCAGCAGAGCACCAGCTCCAAAGTAGAAGCCAACGTCGTAGGTACCTACCTGGCTCCATGCATGAGGGGAGGCGCTTGCTCGAGTCAACCTGGCTTGGCCTAGCACGGCTTGGTAGTGCCTTGCTCTTGGCCTATTTCACCAATGCCCTCGAGCTGAGCGTGGGCAATCTGATTGCGAGGGCATCACAATCAGCAATCCATGTAGGATGACAACCATCATTGATTTCGCCTTGTCCAACCCGACCTACGGCATGGATTGGAATGGACGAGGGAGGGATAAGGCGAAGGGGGAGGGGAGGGTGGGAGCGCAAAGGAGGAGTGACGTGGGCACCGGCAAGGCGTACCATCGTGACCACCTCCACAATCTCTCTGCTGGCTGTTGCTGTCCCAGTCCCAGGGCGCCATCACGTTGGTTTGTCCCAATATGGATGGAATGAACGAGCAGACCCCGCCCACTCGAGGGAGGACACAACACTGTGAAGCAGCCAGAGAGCACTCACTCATCATCACCCTGAGATGAAGAACCTCGCATCTGCAGAGCGTCCACTTTGCTCCAGCACCAGGCCTACAGGCTGCCTCCTATTTAGCACGAGCCAGTCGTTGAAGCAGGTGGATCGGCGGGCACGAACTGAGAACCACCGAGGCTTCCAAGTCGAGGGTCGAGCGAGGCTGGCTGATTGAGCGGTACAAGCAGAGCTCACGATCCCTTCACGTGGGGCATTCGCTTCGCACTGCGAGTTTCAGCGGTGCCCACATAAACTAGGTGATCACACAGCACACGGTGCGTGTGTTTGTTCGTCTGTCCACGGACGATGGGACCGCAGCCTCACATTCAGTCGTCTTCTCCACAGGGCCAGGCCTTGTGCCCATGATTACACTCGGCCTTGTTGCTGTGTTAAAATCCCACGTCCTGCCTTGCTTCTTGTACTGCCAAGGCCAGCTGAAGCTTGGAGCAGACAGCAGATCGGCCGTTGATAACGAGATACATGTTCACCAGAGGAGGTTGACCATGGCCTTATCATTGTCATCAGCGCTGAGCAGGACTCGTCTGTCTCACTGTCTCGAGATCTCTTGTCTGAGTACGACCGTCTGTCTCGGGTCCCGGTGAAATGAAGCGATCACCTGATGAAAGCAATCTGGGGCTTCATTAATTGGGGGTCCATGTCCCCCGCTTGAATGCACCCCCATCCGCCTTTCGCCATTTTGCAGGGTTTGACCGGGGCCGCGCCTCATGTCCCCGTTCCTGGCTGCTCTGGCGAGCTTGGCATCCTTGCCAGCGTCTACGCATGTCCGAGATCTGCGTCACTCTGGTCGAGTTCAAATACCACAGAGCGCGCTGGACCGCCAGCCTAGCAAGTTTACTTTGCAACATCAAGAGAGCGCAATAATAAGTGCCAAACCCGGGCCGCGAGGCAGGGAGAACACAACACTTCAGGCCGGAGTATAACTTTAAAAGGAAAAAAAAAAACCCATAGAAAACCCCCAGCGCGCTGTCAGGTTCAGTGCACGTGTGTCTCGCATCTCCTCGGAGAGCTCAGGAGGGGATGATCGGCAAACTTGACCAGACACCGACGGACCGTACCAACACGTTTTGGAAGGTCTGATCGGGTTGATCTAGTGTCATAAAACTTCTTGCACGCTTGTCTTTCTTCCACGGCCAGCCAAAGTTACAGTGTTGCACGCGAGAAACGCACATCCTCCTTCGCTGAGCCATCTTCAGAGGCCGCTGGCTGGGTCGATGAATGGGACAGATGAGAGATGGGCTGCTGGTGGCTGCGTCCAGCTGACAAGCCTGACCGCCCCGGGTTGCCTTCGCATGTTTTAGCGTTATCCAGGGGCCTGCCAGGGTACTGGGGGATCTCGCACCTTTGGCGGCCTTCCAGAAAATTTCTAGCTTCGATGCAAGGGTGACCCCCGACCTCAGCGATTCCATGTATATTCTCCGTCTCGCCCAGTTCTCTTGACGATGTCCTGCGTTGGCTTGTGTGCCTGGTGTGACCGCGTAACATGTCGGAAACTTTCAGCCATGCATTATCGGCTTTTCGCGGGGAAGATGCGTGCCGGGCTTGCCTGGCAAGGCGTTTTTCAAGGCATCTAGAACGTCGTTTCTCAGCGACTTGACTCGTGTTTTACATGTTCAGACGGATCATCCCGGCGACGTCGTGAAAAGGATTGGAGGTCATTGTCAATGCCGTGGGGCGACACGAGACGCTAAGGGTTGTAACAGAGCCGGCGTCCGCGAAAAAGTCGAATAAGTTGATATTTGGTTGAATGCCTGGGGTTTCGACTGGGGTAGTTTCGGGAATCACAAATTCTGCGGGGAGAAACTCTGGGGAGATGGTCGAGGAGTCTTGCGGTAACAATGCCACCAACATGACTAGCATGGCTCGGGTTATTGAGACGAGCGTGTGATGGTGGATCATTGCACTTCACTTGCCATTCCAGAGGTAATGATGATTAAGGCTCAGAAGCCTGTAAATCCGATCATGAGTGGTCCAGATGCACGGAATTACATCATGAGGAGGGAGAGACGTTGTTTGTAATTCAAATTCAAATCAAAGTAGAGGACCGAGTTATTTGTGACGAATTGTCGTTTCTGGTAGAAGGCGGATGATGAATTCTGATGAATGGCAGCTTGTCGAATTCACAACCTGTCCAACAGTCCACTGGTGGTGACAGGTCACGAGAGTAGTGAGTAGTGAGTCTGTGCCAGCATACAGTGCAGACAAACATTCACGGTAGTGTGCACTGACCACCTCAGAGCTTGGGCCTTACCTCGAACAGAAGGTAAACAAACCCCTCCAATGATATTAGACAATCCCAGAATTAGCCAGTCGCGTTCCTGATCAAACACCACACATCCCAACCTGACATCATCAGGCCCCCCAACTTCATTCCACTCTGGCCTGTTCTCATGACCTTCGGACCTACCATCGCATATTCCCACGATCCCGAAGCCAAGCCCAGAAACCATCGCCATGTCGCCGCCTCGCCGCCGCTCGGCCCGGTTGGCCAGCGCGTCAACGCCAAAGGTCTGTTTGGGCAGTTGCGAAAACTTCGTCCCCCCTCGCCTTTCACCGCCTCAGCTGACCATGATCAACTCTACAGCCCAAGAAGGTATCTCAACTATCGTCGCTTACCGAGCGCGATGAGACGCCGGAAGAGGTGGAATCGACGAGCCGCGATGGCGTCGCCGCCTCGCCACACCCTCAACCTGCCACACCTGCCTCGTCCGCTCTGAAGCCTCCCATGTCCGAAATGCACCCAGCAAGGTTCACCCCACAGCCACTGGCCCCTCCGAGACCTGGCTTGGATTCAGGGACATCAAATCTGCCAACGTCGCCCGTGGCAAGTCTGCAATGAACCGCAGGCACACCGCCAAGCTCAGCGGAGTCCCCTCCTCCTCATCA